GACTAGGAGGACTCTTTATAATTGAGTATCTTCCTACAGTAGGAGGTTCGAAGAAGAATCTTTCGCAGATGTCTGACCGTTCACCCAGGTACATTCCAGGGTGCCGGATGGATGCTGGAGAGGTAGGGAGGAGTGGGAGTGGAGTTAGTAAAGGGTTGCGAGAGGGGTGGGTTTAGGGGTGGTCCGTATCGAAAGGTCCTTCGAATTTCCAGGCCTTCCCCGATCGCTTGTTATTTAGCGTCGCTCCATGTCCTCTTCTTAGGTGGCAGGATCTGAGTCCCGACTGTCCCGAGATAGCATAGGGCCGTATGTATACGTAAGCTCTGAAGGGTGGTTTATGTATTATGGGTAAGATATCCGATGATTTAGCTCTGGTCTCGAGGCTCCCGGGAACGCGGAGTCTTATCTCAACGGTACCGCAGTAACCGAGGTGTAATCTTTTATTAATTCTCCGACTTACCAAATTTATCGTGGCTTTTGTTTACCGGAGGGTGCTCTCTTAAATCTTGGAAACTGCCCTTCTTTGCATTATCTGACCGCGCCTTATTGCCCGGTTCCGCGAGATTTCCTGTTAGTTCAAAATAAGAATGGGACGCGACAGATCGCACGATGCTCGACTTCAGGTACTTGCTGTCCCAGTTTCCCAAAGATACAAATTTTTCATCGGGCGCGCAGCAGCATCGCAGAAAACAAGTCGTATCCGTGGACCACATAAGCAATGCCCGTTTGCTCGTTCGCTCGTTTGGCTGTATACGCGAATTCCATAACGGGTGGGAATGGCGCTATATTATTATTAGAGTCCCTTAAGTCTAAGAGCCTTAAATCTGCGATAAGTTATGAGTCCTCCCTCCCAGCCTCTATACCCATACCTTATACCATTTCCCTATAATATCTTAGTCTACGATGGCGCCTCTCCGGCCTTTATCTCGCATACATTATACGCCCCTGAGCTGCGAGGGGGTGTAAAACGGCGCAAGGGGTACAAGGGCAAGAAAGGAGGAACGCCTCGAAGGGTAATTGAAAATAACAGCTACCCCTAAACTTGAAGCTAACCCCGCGTCTAACTAAGATAAACCTACCCGGATCATCTCGGTATTCGTCTCCTCCTGCCACCCCAATATTCCCCAACTGAGAGTCCCGCGGACTCTCATGGCATTTTCCCTGATGAGGAAATATATCGTATGCGCGCTCGGGACGCCGTGTAATTTCCTGATATCAAAAAAGAAGAGAGAGGAGAAAATTAAGAATGAGAGGTAACCTAAACACCTTCGTTAGAAAGAAACAACCGCGACGGCAAACTCAGAGACCCGGTTGATCCCGACACGTTCGCTTAATTAATCAAAGACAAACGGCAACTTTCCGCCGCCTAATTTGCAAGCTAAACATCCAGAGGCCCGTCCCGCCCTCCCGTCCGTGGAGGTGGAAACTTTCCCACGAGCAATCTTCTTCGCGACGCGACGGAGAGTGAAGGGTAGTCCAGTGAATTAGGGGTGGATGTCAAATTCTCTATCTAACCGCGAACAAGGGTGGAGGGAAGAAAAAATACAGGAGCAACCCCAACACTCTCATAAATCCCAGTGACTAGTCCTTAATATCTTCCCGCTATAGATTTCCCTCGGAGGAGCGTCCTGATCGAGTTAACTCCGCGAAAGAGTTAGACACCTTGTAAC